CTTACTCGAAGCACTTGCGGATGAAATCTTCCCAGCTCTTGACCGACGAGGTCATGACGCGACTGTGGATGTAATCAAACGGCCGAGAAAACGTCCAAGTGTCCTCGACGTCGTCAATCTCGAAGCGGACATTGGGAGGGGTGCTACTTGCGATCAGCTACTTGCCCTACGAGAAAGAAGAGGTGGGAATTGCACTAAGTGGGCCATGTGGCAGACAGATCGACTCCGAGAACCTGAGATGAGAGTAAGGAAGATGTCAGACCATGAAAATTCCCGCTGCAGTCGAGCTTACCTCAGCCTCGGGATGCTCATCGCCAAAGTCGACTGCCCAGATGCCCGTGCCTGTGCCGATATCAAGGACGCGACGGACCCCAGAGTCAGCGGCATTCGGCGGGGCTGTTCCGAGTTTGTTGTCAAAGGTCATGAGAAAGAGATTGTGTGACAGGTCTGCGGGGTCGCCTGGGTTAGTCCCAGAAGGCGATGGTTGAGTTGCGCTTCGTACCAAGTCTATCAAGCTCCCGTTCATCATTGGGAAGTGCATATTCTACTTGTGTGAGCCGGAGATACAACCTCAAGTTTAGTGCGATGCGGAACTCACTGCCGTCTTTGTACTTGTGATACGTGCGTCCGTTCTCTATGCGGTAGTCGAGAATCGAACTGCTCACGCTCGTACTGGAGGATGCTATGCTCTGAAAAAGTCGTCATCCATTTGCTCCTCATAACCGGGCTTGATCTTGAAGCTGAACCTACGGGTCCAATTGTTGAGGCGCCCTCGTCGTTCATCTGAGCTCATGGTCAACAACCGCTCTTAGAAAAGATTCAATGTCTTGGAAAGACCTCATCTGGAATAATAGCGTCGATAGTATCATCGCCATTATTTGGGGGCGAGTTCGGCGACGACTTCGGAGAGGATTTGGGTGGAGAAGGTGCCATCTTCGTCGCGTTCCAAGTGAGGAAGCGTAATGTGGGGTGAAACGAAGACAATGCGTCAAGTTCTCTCATTTTACTTCCTCATTGTATTTATATCTGTGAAGATTCTTCTATCACATTTTACCCCTCTCTTGGCGCGTGATGGTTATGCATGTGGTCGGCATGCAAGTCCTGTTGGTACGATTCCCGCATGAGCATCTCCATATCCGGTAAACCGACATGGGACAACCAACAGATGTTGAGAAGGTCAGTCGCCGCAACCTGTATCATTACTTATTTCTACCTGAAGAAACCAATTCAACCAATACCAAAGGCGGAGGAAAGCCGCAAGGTTTGTGAGAGATTGCGGGTTCGATCCATTTGTCGATCCGAATGGTTGGACTCAATTTGCTCTCAGCGCTCGCTGCACTTCTTCAGCGGATCTGCGAGGATATTGGCTCGAGCAAATCGTCTCAAGAGCAGATTCATCTACTTATTGGAAGATAAATGATGGTATATTATACGGCATTGACGGGGTAACGAGTGGCATGTAGCTCTCAGAGACAACTGACCACGGCCCGTCCAGAAACCTCTCCTTTCTCTAGCTGGGTCATGATCTCGGGAACATGCGAGAAGGAGAAAAGGTCTATGGAAGCCCGGATCGTTCCCTTCTCAGCTGCCTGGAGCAGCTCCGTCATTTGATCTTCTGTCCCGACCATGGCACCCTTGATTGTCAGAGCTAGTGCGAACGTGTTAGCTTTCGTCTTTGCTGAGAGCTTGCGGTGCAGAGCTAGAGAACATACCTTTCAGGGCACACTGAGCAACTGAGATGGGCAACTCGAAATCATTTCGAGGTAGCCCAACGCAAATGATTGTCCCCATCGACCTCAAGAGCTTTGGCGCAATCCGATAGGCGTCCTCTGAACCGGGAACAACGATGATAGCATGAGCTCCCTCCCCGGTCAAACTCATGATCGACTTTTCCACGTCCTCAGTTGCATAGTCAATGAACGCATCCGCTCTACTCTCCAGGTACTTCCGTTTCTCATCTCCCGTGTCTACCGCGATGACACGGAACCCCTTGAGCTTAGACGCGATTTGCACTCCAAGATGACCAAGCCCTCCTCCAGCGCCTTGGATTATGACCCAGTCGCCTCGAGATAAGTCATGGTCCAGCATCGAAAGCGCGCCCATCATCGTGAGGCCCGCACAAAGCAATGGTCCTGCCTCCTCGTCGTTCAAGCCCTCCGGTATCAAGGTCAAGTATCTCGAGTCCGCGACGACGTATCGCTGAAGGGTCCCAGGACGGTGCTTGCCGGTATTCAGCTGCTTAGAGCAATTATTGGGGAATCCGCGCGCGCATACGGAACATTCTCCGCAGGCGCTATAGAGCCACTTGACTCCAACCTTCTTCTTCAGGAGTGACTCTGAGACGCTGTCTCCCAATTTCACGACTCTGCCGATACCTTCATGGCCCACGATGGGATCGTAAGCACCCCAACCACGGAACGCTCGGACTTCTGACCCGCTGCAAAGATGGCCATGGTGTTAGCGATGTTGGGACCAGTGATGAAGGTAGCCATCTGTCAACTTACCATAATCCAGTGAAGTCAAGTTGGACGAGAACTTCAAACGGCCCGGGGGTTCCGACTGGGACATCTTCCCGGACAACGACCTGCGCATCAGGGCCGGGGTTCTCAAAAAGAACTGCTCGTTGCAGGGTAGGAATATCGGAGCTCATCTTGCTTGAAAGGTAACGTCGCAGTGAGATGTTTGGAAAGTGACTCTAGAATGTGTCAAGTGGACATTGGGGTGGTCACTGGGGGGTTAGATTCCACGGAGTTTGTTACCTCGGGAATAGTGGGGTGTACCCCGCGCCGGGAACACACACGGCAGTCAAGAAAACGGGAATAGCGGATCACATCACGGACCATGAGCGGCGCCGGTTCATCGGTAGATCATTACGTTTAAACTCAATTAACTTCATACAGTTGACTTTTAATTATGGAAACTACCCAGTATGCGACCTTTTTCGCTCCATCACTCCTTTCTCTACCAAAACAAATCCATCAGCCACACTCATTCCTATTCTCAACACACTGCCTACATACCTGGACGCGAGTAGATGTAAAAGCTTAACAAGTCCAGACGTAAGTGCACTTGGTGCCAGCAGGGACGCAGCCCGTCTTTCCTGCGTTGCCGTCGCCAGAGAAATGTCCGTTCTGGTTACCGCAGACCAGTGTAGGGCTGGTGTACTGGTCGTCGATCTCGCACGTGAGGTCGTTGGAGCAGGTGCCGGAAAGGTTCCAGGTCTCTGCGAGGGCCAAAGGCACCAGGAGAGCGATGATGGTGAAGAACTGCATCTTTTGTGCTGGTGCAAAAGTAAAGGGCCGGAACTTTTCGAGAAATTGAAACGAAGTGCTGAGATTGGGAATGATGGTGTAAGTATTTGACAGGTTAAAGGCTTCCTTGCAACTTATAAATCTCCTATTGTTCTCCTTTTTTCTTTCTTCGCCCATTTTACTCAACATGAATCTCAATTGCTAAGCGGCCTTCGAGACAGCGTTACGGAGGGAACCATTGCTGGGAACATCAGGAGCCTGACTCGTCCAAGTAGATCATCATTTACGTTGTAAGCGAGAGGTTTTAAGAAGTGAGGGCCATCAAGCGGGTTTACGTCTGTTAAGTGCTGACTCGCTGGTTCTTTGACGGACATCAGCCGCAGGGAGGTACGCGTACCGTGGGATCCACCTCATCGCCAAGCATTCTGCTGGGTATGTATCACCATGGAAGCGGCTGGGAATATGACCTCTCCACAATGATCAAAAATCAGATAATCTTTTTTTAAGGGGATTACTGTACGAGCCGAAACAACGGCCGTGAAATGCGACGTAGTCGGAAGTTCTCAACGATTTCGGATTGTCGGATAGAGGTTTGGATAAGACCCAGAAACTCGAGCGTTCAATAATCGCTGTTTTGACATGACAGTTGCTTGCTTGATTACTATCGTATTTAGTACGACAAATCCGCCATACGATCGGAATCAGGAATGCTTGTATAGCCTTGACTCGCTTTCGACCCATCTTCCCGGTGGGAGACTTCCCTTATTGCCGCATTCCCGTATAGAAGACGAGGCGTGGGCATAATTTAACCAAACATACGTCCCTGGAGGACAAAAAAGGAAAGAAAAAAAACACCCCGTTCCTGGTCTCCAGCAATGGTCAATGATGTGTTCATTGAGGCACTGGAAGTTTCCCCAATAGAAGGCACAGTGGATCACCTACCTACCTCTTTTCCTATCTCCCCGTGCCCAATCGGGGACTCTTGCATTACAACAACTCATGTCGTCTTGTCCCGCGTGTGCTGCACAAAGAGGCCCGAATGCAGCAACGAGTGCACATGTAGACTTGTCAAAGAGTCCCTGTGGCCTATTTTCCATGAAGAACTCACAGACCCAAGTCTGTTCTTACAGAGTCATGAAGCGAGTACTCGTTGTGGGTCAAGTTCGGAAACCCCCCACATCCGGCATGCCGAGTCGCGGACGGCCGAAGTGGGAGGGAGCAAGCCGGTAGTCCGAAAGTCACAGAGGGTAAGCTCCTTTTCCGAAGTAAGTAAAAGAATAGAAAAAAGATTTCACCTCAGTAGGCTACATGTCGTGGTGCACATGCCGGGAATCGAACTCGTAGCCTGTCGTCGAGTAGGATGTGGGCGTATTTGATTGTTAAGCTTGAACTACTCCAACACCCAGCCAGTTTGACCTGACCTATCGATCTAGACAGAAGCCTGCTGGTTGGTGACAGGAACGGAATTGAGAGGGGCTATATATGTGTCTCCTGTATATTCAGGTGGAAGGTATGTCTAGATATCTCCCTATTAGGTCACAGGATATTCCTCTGAGTATTCGGTAATGAAGCTTGGAGTACCCCGTTGACGGCGAGGCATCAACCTTTGGGGCTCTCAAGTAGGCCAAAAGTACATTCGGAAATATGCCTACTAATAACGGGCACTTCGCCCGATGAAATGTTCCAATATGACACGTTGCTTGGAAAAAACGATGACCAGAAAATTAAGGCGACCGGCATTTCTATTGTTCATTCGCTTAAGAGCCAACACCTAGAGTAAGTTGCGAAGCTTAGTCTAGTTATTTGGTTCAGGATCTCAAGAGGTTGTTGTGTTTACTCTCGAGTCCATGGCATGACAACCGCCAGAATGGAGGTCTATGCCCGCGCTAGTTCACTGCTCTCTCACACTCGAGATCCAAAGGCATTAACAGTCCTACCACCCATACTAATACACGCTCCTCTCTTCCACGAATTATTCTCATGATCAGCATACCACGGACCACGGAGCTCCTGGCCCGCGATACATCCCTTGGTAGAGTAAAAGTACGCCTTCTGGTTATAACCCCCATAGACCTCGACCCGGACGGACTTGGGGGCAAAATCGGTGGTAGCGCAGGTGTTGTCGTAGATGTTGCGTCTCTGCGAGGCGCCTCCGCAGTTCTCGCCTTTATACAAGGTGAGAACATAGCCGGACGTGGTGGAGGCGAATCCGAGGCCGACGATGAGCATAGATGAGAGCTGCATTCTTATTAATATTATCGTCGTCGTTGTTAAGGTGGCTATAGTTAGTCTAGAACAACGAAAAGAATAAACATTTAATGCACTAGGCTTATGTCATATTAAATCGCTAACTTACTAACTTAATATTTAAGAGAAGGATTTTATAAGAATATAAGAGAAGAGTTATTTAATATTATAATAGTATTAAGCCTCGCCGGTTAGACCCCGTTAGTTAAGGGATAGTTTAAGGGGTATAAAAAGGGAGACTAAGTAATAAAAGAGTAGCTTAAGTATATATAGAGCGCTAATAATACGCCTTAAAAAAAGGGTAGATTTTAATAATTTATTTTTTAGACTTTAATAATAGTTAGCCTCTATAAGCTTTTTTTTTATATTATATACTTATTAATAATTTAAAATCTCTATTTATAAAAAGGACTAAACTAGGAGTTTAAAATATTAATAAAAATAAAATATAATAAAAGAGCATAGTTAGTATTATAATAATAAAAAAAGGACGACTCGTTTTTATTAAACTCTCTAAAGTTACCTCCTTTTTAATAAATAATATAAAAATAGAGTATAATAAGACGAACTACGTAGCGACGATATAAAAAAACCGTATTATTAAAAATATTAACGAATTTTAAATAAAATAGTAAACTTCTTACCCTCGTTTATTAATACCTAAACTAAATAATAAATAATAAACTAATAAAACTATAAAAATAAAAATAACGATTAAAAAAAGAAATCTTTATAATAACGTATAAAGAGCGACTACGTAAAAAATAAATAAATTTAAAACGCTTATAGAGCTCTTTAAATAGCCTAGCCCCTATACTAAAAGCTATAGTTTTAATTATAATAATTTTAAATATTAATTTTAATATAAATAAAAACGTAATCCGTGATTATAAACTTTATAAGAGGGAAAGTTTAAAAAGGTAGAAAATCTAAAAAAAATAGTCTAACGAGACAGTGGGAGTATCTACTAATACTGTGTGTTATTACTGTGTAACCGATATCGAGAATCGCCCGAGCAGCCAGTAAAGGTAGAAATAAAAAACAAATAAATAAAAACGTAAACCCCTAAACTAAGGATAGTTTAATAAATAAAGCTATATTTAAAGCGCTACTTAAGTAATAATAAAATAATAAGTTCGTACTACCTAAGCCTCTATTTACTAACTCTTTTTTAACTTAAATAAGTACTATAAATAGAACGTTTATATTTAAACTACTATCCCTTTTTAATTTATTATATATTAATAAATTAATACGGGATTTATAGAGCTTTTTATTTAATTATTACTATTATTTCGATTTATAAGCTTAATAAATAAAAATAAATTATAATAAAGTAGTATATACGGTTAGCTACCTAAATAATAATATAAAAACCTTTTAAATATACTATATTTTTAATTATAAAAAGGTCCCTAGGTTTATAATAAATTAAGTTATATAAAAAGAACTAAAGACCTTTTTATAAAATAACCTATCTAATCTTACTAACTAAGGGATAATAATAAATATATATTTAAATAGTGCCTCGTAAAATTAAAAAAAGAGGGTTAACGAGTTCGTTAGTTATATTAATAAGCTTAAAATAGAATTAGAATATATCCTAATAGAGAAATAAAAAATCTTTATATTAATAAGTAAATTATAGCCCGAATTATGCCTCGTAATAATATTATAAATAGAACTTTTATAGACTTACTTATAGCTAATATTACTAATAAAACGTATTAAGTAATCCTTATTATTAATAAGGAGCTTATAAACGTCCCCTAGGTAATATTTTAATTTAAACTTAAATAAGCTAGCGGGGAGATATAGGGGTATTAATAAGCTAATTACGTAAAAAATATACTATAACTCGCTTAGTAAGGATATTACGTACTATAATTATAAAAAAACTAGCTATATTATAAGGGATTACCCGTAACTACGGAAGTAATATTAATAATATTATAACTATAATAAAATTAAGTACTTTACTAATAGCTACCCTAGTATTATATATTATAAATATAATTAAAAAGGGTATAAAGTTACTAACTATTAATTAAACCTTGTTCTAACTAAGTAGCGCGGACTAATAACGAACTTAAATATTATTTTAATAAAAAAGGTAATTAATAATTAATAAGGGTAGCGCTTAAACGTCCTAACCTATATATACTTAAACTACGTATAAAAAAAGCTAAGCGCCCTTATCGATTTAAAAATAAAAAAGAACGTAATTAATATCGGGCTACTTAATAATTTTAACGCTAATTTATAAATTTACCCGTTACTATAGCTAATAAACGTTAAGGGTAAGTAAATAAAAACGTTAAGGAGCTACTACTTACGGCTTCGAATTATTAATAATAATAACGTAATAAAAATATAACTATATCGCTTTATAATAGCTAATATTATAGTACTTACGCTTATTTTCGGTTTCCCTTAATTAGAAAATATTAACTTACTAATTAGTTAAAAATAAAAAAAGTAGTAGTATTCGATTTATAAATAATATATCCGCTTAAATACTTTAAAAAAAGAGCTACTAAATAACTTAGTTTTAATAATATTTACGTATATTATAATTAACTTAGCTATAAATAGTAACGTAGTACTAATGAGTATAGCTAAGGATTAAAAACTACGATACTAAGACTTTAATAACTTATTTTTTAAAAAAAAGGCTATTTTATTACTAAATAGAGTACTATACGACTACTATATTAAACTAAATAACGCTATACCTATTTTATAGGGACCTATTTACTTATTATTAAATTATAAACTTAAGATTTTATAAAACTATTTAATAAAAATAAAAGCTAGGGGCTAAATATACCCTTTTATAAGCCTAGCTAGAGTACTTATCTTTTTTATATTTAAAAAAAGAAGAGAGTTATAACTTTACGTTAATTATAAAGTAATTAATAAGATTATATAAAAAGATAATATACTAAAATAGGGTAGGGTAATCAGTCCTAATAATTCTTTTCTAAAGCTAATTAAATATAAGTATTTACAAGAGGGCTAATTAGAGCAAGATATAAAAAAAAGGGCCCCGATTAAAAATAGCGAGTTCGATAGCGCGGATTTTTACTTTAATTATATATATACTTTTTAAAATCGAACTAGAGCCTTTTTAATAATTTACTTTCGGACATAATAATACAAGACGATTAAGAAGTCTACCCTTCCGATCTAGCTAATACTATCCTCTTCCCTTTAATCATAACTCCGTTAATTAAGGCCGTATTAACCTGATTAAAAGAGGTATCTTATATTACTTTTATAAGTATTAATAGTTCTTCTAAAGCACCGTACCGCGAGAGTCCTTTATACCCTATACGTTTTTAATACTATTATTACTAATTAAAAAGATATTAAATAAACTATTTAATACCTCCGTTTTTATAAAACTAAATTTTAAAAACGCATACTACTATATATATATAACCGAGGGTAATAAGTAAAAAACGGCTTTTTATACTAAATATAAGTAGTTCGAGTACCTAGTTATACCCTTCGGACTAACTAATATACCCATAACTTTTTAAGTATATATTAATAACGTTTTAAGCGGCCTAGTTAATACCGTTTATATTATATACTTAAATAATATCTTAATATATAATAATAACTACGTAATATATAAAAAGTACGTACGTAGCGTATTATAAAAACTACGGTAATAAAACTTATATTTAAATAGTAATAAATATAAGTTCTATATATTATATATAAGATTTTTAAAGTATATCGTATTTAATAAAAATATAAAAATAGAACCTATATATATTAAAGCTATAATAAATTAACTATTTTTAAAGAGCGTTAAAAATATATAAACGTTTTTTAAATTTACGGGGTTCTATTATAAATTTATTAATAACTATACTAAAATAACCGTACTCCTAATAAACTTATTAAAAAAAGTAAAACTAAAATAATTAGAGCTATTAATACTCGCTATAAAGTCGTTTAAAAAGCTATTAATAATATTTACTAATATACTAATATTACGATATTTTAACCCTACCCTATTTACGTAATTATAAATAGACGCTTTAGCTCGAGCTATTAACTTAGTAATTACGTAATTATTTAAAAGTAATTAATACTTAATTATTTATAAGTTAAGGAAATTAACGGATACGGAGAGCCGCTATAGTATAAAAAATATAAAGTTATTAATTATTATAAACGTATTAAAAAACTAATAATACTACCTTACTTATAACTAAGATTAGGTCGTAGTATTTATAAACTATTTTAACTTATAGTTCTTAAATATTAAAAAGAAGCTAAATAGAAAATAGTTATACTAACTAAATAAACTCGTAATATTTAATATTAAAATTAAGTTTAAATTAAGTATTAAAAACCTAGCGGATAAATTATTATAAAAACCTAATTATAATAAAAATAATAATAATAATAAAGTAGAGGAGCTATTATTAAAAATAAAAAAAAACCTATATAATATTAAAAATATATAAGAACCCCTTAAAATTATAATAATAAAGTATATAAAAACGAGCTACGGGAGCGGCTCTTAAATAAAAAGGATAGTAAGTATTTTAAAAATAAAATTAATAATAATATAGAAAAATAAGTAAAAGAGGTTAAGAGCTCCGGCTTAAGGGAGCTCTAAGGAGTATTTTAAAAAGTATAATAAGGCTACGAACCTAAAGTATTAAAATTATAGTATAATACTTAGGGAGCTACTTAAGCTTATTATTAAAACTATAAATTATAAACTACTTATTCTATAAAACTCTAATATAATAAGAGTATTTAAAATAGTATTTAATAAAAAGGGGTTATTAATAATAAGTTAATTACGGACTATTTAATAAGAGGACGCTTTTATAAAAAATAGGTAATAGATTAAAAAGAATTAATAGCCTCGCTTAATTAGAAAAAAGTAGTAATAAAGCTAGGTATATAATTTAAAAGGGCTATTATATTACGGTAGCTATATTTATATATTATTATATAAGGGGCTA